TAAACATAGACCAATTTTTTTTTTTTTTTTTCTTCATATTTTATGTATTTGTCGTTTATGCAAAAAAGTTTACAAATATGCATAAACAGGTTTATAAAAACTTGGATATAATACATGAACATTATATATGTATATGTATATATATATGTATATGTATATGTATATGTATATGTATATGTATAAATATGTATATGTATATATATGTATATGTATATAGGTAAAAAAATGTAAATTTTATTATTTGTTTTGAATCATACTTCAGCATTTCGGAGTACTTCATTGAATTGATTTATTGCAGGTGGTACTTTTAGCCTTTGTAATAAAATTCTTTTTTTTCTCTCAATTCTGATTTTTTTAGGAAACTTAATATACTTGGATAAATCTCTTTTCCTTCGTACACCAACACCTATAACAGTGCTTCTTTTTTTTTTTTCGAAAATTAAAGGATTCGATCTAATACCTTGTTTTTTAGGTTTCTTAATAACCTTTTTTATGGGTTTCTTTTCACTTAATGGGCATGGTGCAGGTGTTTTTTTGGAAGGTTGGTTTTTTTGTTTTTTAACTTTCACCTACATGAACAAAATAAAAAAAAATAAAAATAAAAATGGCATATAATATACATTATTGTACAATTATAAAAATATGTATATATGTATGTAGTATATATGTATGTATATATGTATGTATGTATATATGTATGTATATATATATGTATGTATGTATATATATATGTATGTATGTATATATGTATGTATGTACTCATGTACGTATGTATAAAACGAACATACGGAGTAAACTATATTGTTGAGCGGCTATATATACCAACATATATATAAGTATGTAATATGTATGCGGTTCACTATGTTAACAAAAAAAAAAAAAAAAAAATAGTAAAGTAGAACAAATCAGAGAAGAATAAAAAGCAAATCAGAAAAGAGCAGAACAGAGCAAAATAAACTTCAGCAAAATAAACTACAGCAAAATAAACTACAGCAAAATAAACTACAGCAAAATAAACTACAATAAAATAAACTACAGCAAAATAAAGCTATGTATATTTACGTAACATCAACAATAACATTTTATATAAATTATTATTACCATTTTGTATAAGTTGGAATGACTTTATTAAAAAAATAAAATAAAAAAACTTAACACTTAACAATTGTTTTTTCTTAAGTTGTGTTATTTTTTTATTTTTTTATAATATATTAATAAATATTAAATCAAAAAAAAAAAAAAAAAAAGTATATTTATATTATGATATAATTACATAAATATAAAACAAAATTAAATAAATAAATTAAAGCTTAAACAAAAAAAAAAAAATATATATATAATCATAAGTTTAATAATAAATATATATTTTTTTTTTTTTTTTTTATAATGTTTTTTTTTTTGTAAGTTGGAAAAAAATAAAAATATTTGTATAGTGTATAATTTATCCAACTAACATGTAAAAGTGTTTGGGCATACATAAATGACGATGTACTATAATATATATGTATTGGTGATGATATATGGGGTGAATACAAGTAGCTAATATTTGGCTTAATTAAAAAAAAAAAAAAAAAAAAAAAAAAAAAAAAAATCGTATATATAAATAATATATATATAATATATATATATATATATATATATATAAATTATGTAATATCATATGCATATGCGTATAGTTTTTTTTTTTTTTTTTTTAGCTTTAAAAAACTTGAAGCAATTTAAGCGGTGCATACATAGTTTAACCTATCATAAACAAATTTCATATTTTTATAAAAGATTTTTTTATAATATATTCAACAATACATTCACAGAGGTTTGTAGTTATACACATGACTAATCTTGTTAATAAAAATGTATATATAAATATTTACTCTTATAATGTTATATAATAAAGAGATAATTATACATTTTTGGTAGTTTTTAATAATATTAAAAATTGCTTAAGTGATTAAAGTGCATAATACAATGGATCTTTTATTTTATATATAAAAAATAACAAACATATATGTACGAGCATATAAAACATATTTATACCCCATTCACCTATAACAACTTTATCATAGTTACTTATATTAAGTAAAAAAAAAAAAGTAATAAATAAATAGTGATAAATAAATAGTTATAAATAAATAGTTATAAATAAATAGTTATAAATAAATAGTTATAAATAAATAGTGATAAATATTTTTATAAAATTGTTTATATATATATATATATATATATATATATATCTATCAATATATGTTTTACGTATGTATAAATAATTATTATTTTATTTAATATAATTAAAATATTATTAAGTTTTTTATTTTATTATCTTTCCGCTTTTTTTTTGTTTTGCCCTTTTGTTTTTTTTATTTTTTTGCTTTATTATTGTAGATTTAAAAAAAAAAAAAAAAGGAAAATTTTATATGTACGTAATATATATATATATGTATATATATATGTATATTACGCAGGTTAGTGATGACATATATATTTTTTTTTATATAAATTTTAACATGTTTCAATATGTATATATATTAAAAACGATAGTAACTCGTTGAAGATATATTATATATGTATATATATTTATATATATTTTTTTTTTTAATTTTATTTTTTTTATATTGCATATTTACCACACCCTTTAGCTTATACATTTTTTAGCTTATATATTTTTTAGCTTATTTATTTTTTAGTTATACATTTTTTTTTTTTTTTTTTTTTTTTTTAATTATTTATTATCAGCATTATATGAATTTTAATTATAGTGTTGCTTTTTATGTACATAAATATATAAATAAAAAATTTGTTTTTTAAATTTGTTTTTTAAGTAATTTTAATAAAGCAGTTTTTATAATTTTTCTTTAAAAATTCAACAAAAAAAAAAGTCAAAATAATTAACATATATATAAACATATATATTATATATATACATAGAAAAAATGGCTTACGTAAAAGTTGTTAAAAATAAGGCTTATTTTAAAAGATTTCAAGTAAAGCTTAGGAGAAGAAGAGGTATGTATGCTTCTCTTTTTTTTTTTTTTTTTTTTTTTTCATTTTTTTTTTTTATTCTCGTTTATGTTTTTATTATGCTACAACTGTATAATTTACATACATATTTTGTGTTCACTTGTGATTACTTTCATTTCCGCCTTAAATAAATATAACAATTTCATTTTTATTAAGTTATATGAAATATAATTTATTATAGGCTAAAAAAAAATAATATATATAAATTATTAATAGTGATAAAACGAGTGACCAATTTTTTTTTTTTTTTTTTGTCAACTCACCTGACACTTGTACAATTAAAATATAAATTATATGCTTTTTTTTTTTTTGTAAAATTATTAATGTACATATTTTACATAATGCGTACATATTTATGTTCTCATGATTCCAAGTGATACATATATACATACCTCTCTACATACATACCTCTCTACATACATACATCTTTACGTACATACCTCTCTACATACACATACATGTACATACGTTTTACTTATATAGAGGGAAAGACTGATTATAGAGCTAGGAAAGGATTGATATTGCAAGATAAAAACAAGTTCGGTGTTAATAAGTTGCGTTTTGTTGTCCGTAAAACCAACACCCAAATAATTTGTCAGTTAGTGAGTGCTCATATAGAAGGAGATAAAATATTAACCGAAGCAAAATCGAAAGAGTTGGTAAAATATGGAATACCAGTCGGTTTAAAGAATTATGCAGCTGCTTATGCAACTGGTTTATTATGTGCTAGAAGATATTTAAAAAAATTAAAGTTAGATAATGTGTTTTATCCTGTTGAAAAATTTGAAGAAGACATGGGTGAAGGTAATGAAGATAAAGGTTTTGAAGGAAGAAAAAAAATTAAAGCTTTTTTAGATGTTGGTATTACAAGAACAACTACAGGTAATCGTGTGTTTGCTGCCATGAAAGGAGCATGTGATGGAGGTTTAAATATACCACATGGTAATACCCGTTTTCCAGGATCCAAAGAAGAATTCAATGCTGAACTTTTAAGAAAACATATTTTAGGATTACATGTAGCTGAATATATGAAAATATTACAAGAGGAAGATATGGATAAATATAAAGCACATTTTAATGAATATATAAAACATAATATTAACCAAGATAATATTGAAGAAATGTATACCAAAGCACATGAAAAAATCAGAACAAACCCAGAAAGTACTGAAAAGGACAAGGATAAGGTCAAAAAATTTATTAGCAAAAATCCAAAACCGACAAAACTTAATGCTAAGGAACGAAAAAAAAGAGTCAAGGCTAAGGTAAAAATAAAAAAAAAATAAGTATATATGTTCTTAGATGAGTAAACAAAGGCGAAAAAAAAAAAATAAATAAAAAAAAAAATAAAATAAAAAAATAAAATAAAATTGTTGATGGTTAATTGTTGATTGCCATAGCTACGACTGTTAGTTATAATTTGCCTATTTAAAAACAATTTTTAAGAATTTTCACCTTGTTTGACACTTGTCTAAACATATATACGTTTTTTATACAAAAACATGCTTACAAGATTTACAATGATGAGAAACACAGACCTGATTTGATATACAGTGTGAAAATAAATTTATTGCTGAATAAATCTTATGCATATGTATATTTACATATATATCTGTGTACCCCCATATCTATATATGCTATATATATACATATATACATATATACATATATACATATATACATATATACATATTTTTTTTTTTTTTTTTTTTTATCTCATTTTAGTTGGCTAAATATGTTGAGAAGTTACAATAAGTAAAAGAAAAGAACAAAAAAAAAAAAAAAAAAAAAAAAAGTTACACAAGAACGTATTTATTGTAGGTGGAAAATATAAAGGTAATATTTATTTATTTATTTATTTATTTATTTACTTTTTTAAAAAGTTGCACGAACGTATTTTATGTGAGCCAAAAATGTGACAATAAATTTATTAACATTTGCTCAAACACTTTTTTTATGTGATATAAAAAGTTATATTCATAAGATTTATAATGATGAGAAACACAGACCTGATTTGATATACAGTGTGAAAATAATTCTACTGCTGAATAAATCTTATGCATATATATATATATATATATATATATATATCCACGCCATGTACATGTATATGTATATATATATATGTTCATGTGTATATGTATAGATATATATGTTCTTTTCTTTTTTTTTTTTGTAACATTTTAGCGGGCAAAAATGTGTATAAAAAAGTTAAATTAAGTAATTAAAAAAAAAAGGAAAAAAAGTGAGTAAAATCTTTTAAGAGTTAGAAAAACACAGAGGTAACATTTATTTATTTTTTTTTTTTTTTATATTTATATGTACTATATGCATATATTTATTTATTGATTTATTGACTTTTTTTTTTTTTTTTTTTTTTTTTTTTTTTTTTTAAAAAAATTTTTTTTTTTTTTTTTTATTTTTAAATTTATTTTTTTTTTTTTTTATTTGTTTTTTTTTTTTTTTTTTTTTTTTTTTTGCTTCAAATAAAACAACACATATTTTACATATCTTAATTTACTTTTAAAAACAACATTACAATTTTACAAACGTTTATGTATATATATATGTGCTTGTTATTACAAAATAAATACTTATTTTTTTTTTTCTATGTAAAAAAAAAAAAAAAAGACCATATGTACATTTATACAATATTTAAATATATATGTTATAACAACTGTGTGATGTTTCTATGAACAATTACTGTATTCAAATAAAAGTATAAGATAATAGTTACTTTTCTTTTGTTTTGCATATATGTGACAAATATAATAATAATAAAAAAAAAATAAAATAACTAGTTATAGACAATATGATATATATATATAAATACAACTGTACATTAGTTAAAAATTTATTAGTTTTAATAGACATGTTAAAAAAAAAAAAAATATAAATTTATTATTATTTTTTTTTTTTTAAATTAGCTTTTTATTATTAT